TGACTGGGGACTTACCAAGTCCTGTCTATCTAGACGTATACTGTCTTTTAGGTTATGAGCCCTGCCTGACGCAGGCACCAATATCATCATTAAGACTCACCGAATTCATCGTGCATAGTCCACACTTGAATACCACCTTATCCACTGCAGATCGCAGAGATCAACCCCACACGTGTTTTCAGGGCAGAACCCACTACACCCCTCACTGAACCATGACCGAAGACCCACGTGGACGCCTCCCATCATCAACCATAGGGAACCTCAGACCCGCTACATTCGATACCCCGAATCCATCACCCGCTAATCTCGGAATGCCCACACACTAACGACTCTCGCTCACCCTCCCACTCGTGCACTGCCACACCACGTCCACACATCATTGATGAACAAACATCTGATGAAGACGAGACCCACTTCACGCTGAAAAAGTCCATTGATCCATCAAAATTCACCCATCTCCTCCAATTACGCCCTAAACTCACTGCAACCAATTATCCAACATGGACAAGCACCATCTATCGTGCACTCGAGACCATCGGGCTACACATTTACGTAGACCCAGACTTCGTGCAGCCATTACACAGTTTGCTCAATGAAAGACACCACCCTGTCCAGTTGGAATAAAGCAAACATGTTGTCTGTTCGGTGCTTACCTCATGCATGACGGAGGATGTCATGTCCCAGTTGGCCCACCTACAACGTGCCTCCGACATAAGGGCAGATGCGAGACGACTATACTCAGGCACCACAGCCACAGACTGGACCCTCGTGATAACCTCACTCGTCACAACACGCTATAATGATGGCTGAAGATATCAACACCCATATAGCGAAGATGAAAGGGTACTGTCGGGACCTTATCCTGATGTGACGTGATATTGAAGATGAACTATTTGCATGTTTCTTACGCATATCCATGCCAGCAGCTTTGAACTACGTGTTCGCAGCCCTCCCTGACCACTATAAATCTATCGAAGTTGAACGACGGATTAGGGACGAGTTTGGAGTCTGAACAAGCCAATTGGGCACCACTAGCACCTCATACCAAGCTTCACGTGGAAACAAGAGTTGAAGCGGACTTAGTCGCACACCTGTACCAGGCCAACCCTTCTGTGAGAACTGCAGCATCTCCAGTCATTTGACCAAAGACTGCTACTCGAAAGGTGGTGCTAAGCAAGGGCAAGGGCCTAAGAGGGATAAGAAGAAGTCAAAGAAGGCTGACGAGAAGGACGATAAACCCCACAAGGGTAAATTCAAGTCAAAGAAGGCTAACCAAGCCGTCGCAGACAATGATGATGTCAGCAACACAGATGACGACCGTTCCAACACTGGAACACTCCTCATACTTCACCAGTCCTCCCTCGCACTCTCGTTTTGGCTGGATCCTTGACGGCGGATCCACCACCCATATTTGCACTGAACGAGCAGCCTTCACAACCTTCACCCCCTCAGAGGAACATATCCAGGGCATTGTCAAAGATGGGCCTGTACTACGTGTTCTCGGCCATGGATCAGTATTAGTCAATGTCTCTGTGAAGGGACAACCTGACTGTGTCGTCAAATTGACAAATGTCCGTTATTGCCCCAATGCCCGTGACCACCTTATGTCCGAGAGCCGCATGGATCAGAAGGGAATGGAGATTACAAAGCGGGGTGGTAAACTTACCATCAAGAAGCCCAATGGCGAGATCGCAATGGAAGGAAGACTAAATAACAACCTGTATGAGATCAGCAGCGCCATTGCACCACCCTCATCCAGATATGATGTCGCCTTCTCCGCTCGCACAGCACCTAACCTCAACCTATGGCATGCTCACTTTGCCCATATCAGCATTGACAACCTCCACTACATTGCACGGCACAATCTCATGACTGGCATGGATCTCCAAGGGAATGGTGACCTCCTACCCTGCGAAGGATGTGCAAAAGGGAAGCACCCATAGGCTCCCTTCCCATCCAAAGCTAGTTGAGCGAAAAATATCCTCGACCGCATCCATATGGACCTCCAAGGCCTCTCAATATCTCCATCCTAGGCTTTGCCTACACACTTGCCGTCGTCAATGACCACAGCCGAAAAGGGTGGAAGGAGTATATGAAGTCGAAGGACCAAACTCCAGGGCTTATTAAGGCGCTTATCAAACGACTCGAGACCTACTACAGAACGCTATGTGAAGATAGTATGTTCCAACTGAGGGGGTGAATTTATCAATTCAACATTGAGGGAGTATTTTGAATGGAAGGGTATCACACATGAATTTTCAGCCCCTCAGCACACCTCAACAAAACGGAGTTGCCGAACGCTTCAACCTGAACCACAGCATGAACATGCCCTGCAATGATCACAGATGCCAACATGGCTGAGGAGCTTCTGGCCAGAAGCACACGAATATGCCAGCTACGTTCAGAATCAAAGCCCAACCAAAGCACTCTCCAAAATCACTCCCAATGAAGTCTTCCACGGTTGCAAACCAGATGTATCTACTCTACGCATCTTTGGCTCCCATTGTCATGTCCGAGTCTTACCCGAATTCTGAAGGAAGCTTGATGCCCACTCTATTGATGGCATACTCTGTGGTTTCGAATGAGGTTCTAAAGCTTACAAGGTCTGGATTCCCTCCAAGAAGAAGTTCATCTCCTCTCATGATGTCATAGTATATGAGAAAATATTCAGCAAACCCGACGACGAACACATACCCACCCCTCCTCCTAATATCCCTACTCCAAGTAAGGGGGTGCCAAAACCACCAGCCATTATACCCACTCCTGCTCAGATCAAGGGGGTGACAGACAGAGATTCGAATCCAACCAGTAGTGAAGTACCAGCACCCGCCAAAGAACCATCAGACCTAGCACCCACAGAAACCATCAATTCTCCCACAGCTCCATCTCCCAAACCTGCTCCAGCTACTCCCCCAACAATACAAACTCAACCATGACACTCAGAATGTGTTGCACGTCCATCGTGGAAGAAACAGGCAGCGGAAATCCAGAAAGCCAAGTCTGAGAAGGAGAAAGCCGAACGCAAAACCAGACGCAAAGCACGAGCCCAACACCAACACAAAACTGATGCCAACACCTCACCAGTCGAGAATACTACTGTTGGCGAAGTTGCTCAGCTTTCCTACCTTGCGGCATATGGCCAACGAATTCCAGAGCACTTCCAAGCTGCTTCTGCCAGTGCTGAGGCAGAACAATGGTGGAAGGCAATGCACGAGGAGTTCGAGATGCTGCAGAAGAGAGGTACCTGGGAACTGGTCGAGAAGCCAAAAGGTCGAAAGGTGATAGGATGCCGGTGGACATATGCCCTAAAGCTTGGCCCTGACGGAGAAATCACCTGATACAAGGCATGACTTGTCGCACAAGGTTACTCACAGATCCCCGGAGTTGACTACAGTGACACCTTCTCACCTACTGTCCGACTCGACTCTCTCCACGTAATATTACACTTTGCAGCCTCCCACAGCTGGTACTGAGGCCAGGATGATATAACTGGGGCATTCCTCCACAGCAAGATCGACCATGAAATCTACATGTGACAACCCGAAGGTTTCAGTGATGGCACTGATAGAGTTGCAAAACTCCTACTCAGCCTTTACGGGATCAAGAAAGGCTCACACCTGTGGAACAAGCACATGCACCAGGGATTGACTTCCCGCGGCTTCACCCGCTGTACCTCTGACCACGCAGTATACACTCGCCGCACACAAACGGGTACCTCAATCATCGCGTGGCATGTGGACAATGCCATCACCGTGGCAGATACCCAGGAGACACTCACTGAGACCCGTGCCGAGCTGCACAAGCTGTTTGAGATGAAGGAGGAGGATCCAGACTGGCTCATGGGGTTCTCGCTTATTGACGATCGCAAAAACCACTCCATCGCAATCTCCCAAGTGCAATACGTCGATACCATCCTCAAGCGCTTTCGGATGGACGACTGCAACCCAGTACAGACGCCAATAGATCCCAGTGTCGTCCTTTCGAAGGCAGACGGCCCGAAAATAGACAAGGAAGCTGCAGAAATGAAAGAGTTACCCTACCGCGAACTCATTGGGGCAATCACATGGATAGCCATGGTATCACGCCCCGACCTCGCATTCGCAAGCAGCCACCTCGGACAATTCAGTGCAAACCCAGGCAAGGCACACTGGAAAGCGGCTTTGCAAGTCCTGCGCTACCTAGCCAGCACACGCGATTTTTGCCTAACACTGGGTGAGAACAGCAAGAATGCAGACGTACTCACTGGCTACAGTGACTCGGATTGGGCACGCGACATTGACGACCATCAGTCCATCTCGGGCTACATCTTCACACTCAGGGACCGCGTCATTGCATGGAACAGCAAAAAGCAAGCTACCATTGCAGCATTGTCAACCAAAGGAGAATACATGGCCCTCTCGCATGCATCCAAGCAAGTCATTTGGCTAGGGTACTTGCTGCACGATATCGGAGTGTTCGACAAAGATCCGGGTACAGAGATATTTGTCGACAACACCGGATGCATAAGCCTCGCAAAGGAAGCACGTTTCCACGCCCGCACGAAGCATATTGACGTCCATTACCACTTCATCCATGAATGAGTTGAAGACGGCACATTGGAACTCATACACATCCCATCAGCCGAAATGCTCGCCGACGGACTCACGAAACCACTTCCGCATCTCAACTTTCAGAAGATGATAGAGGAACTAGCTCTGTTGCCAGACTGAGGGGGTGTGTTGGAAATCAGCCAACATCAACATAGTAGTACAGATTGGATTTCTTTTGTTTGAACTGGACGCTACCTTCTCCGTAGTTACCATATTAAGAAACTCCGCACATGATACATTTGTTACTCGTTTTCTCTCTTTTCCCCAGTCTCTTTTACTGTCGACTGGGGACTTACCAAGTCCTGTCTATCTAGACGTATACCATCTTTTAGGTAAGATTGATACCCTGCAACGCCTTCATGAAGGCCTTAGGCGCTGAAATCATGCTCCAGCACCCCTCATTCCCACTGCCCGATCCTCCTGCCAATGCATCATCCTTGTTGCTTGATCAATCCGGCCCCCCCACCATGTCACCGGCCGAATCTGCACTCCCACCTCTCATTGATCTCACAATGGAAGGCATTGCTCCCACAACCGCAACCGCAACAGTCCCGGATGCCTCTGCCATTGATGGCCTCCTGTTTGATTACAACCAAGTTGCTCATCCAGAGGATCCAGATGCATCCTGGCGAAATTGTGGACCCAGGTGATGCCGAGCAACCTTGTCCCAGAATATAACTCCTCTGATGACATGGATGTTGAGGTGGAGGTGAAGGTTGAAGAGTCTTCTGAGGAGGTTGACATGGCTACATAATTGCATAGTGATAGATGTATATACAAGTTTTCAATGAATGTAACCTCTGCCAGTCCATTGATCGAGTGACTGAGTTCCCAGTACCGACACCCTGACACCCGAGATTCGGTACTCGGTACTCAGTGATTCATTGTTCGAGTGTCGAGTTTCGAGTCGAGTACCGACGACCCACACCCAACACCCGAGTACCGAGTACCAACACCCGAGATTTGGTTGATTCGTGTGGACATTTGAATTCAAAACCTGAAATGAAGTGCTGACTACCGAGTACTCGGTGATTCGAGTCTTGGGATTCGAAACTCAGATTTATGCAAGTTTCCGAGTTTCAAGTTTCGAGTCGAGTACCGACACCCGACACCCGAGATTTGGTACTCGGTACTTGGTGATTCGTGTGTATCATCATACTGCGGGTGTCGGTGTCGGGTGTTGGTACTCAATTCAAAACTCAAAACTCAAATCTCAAAATCTTGAAACTCAAATCTTGAAACTCAAAACTCAACATAAATCTGAGTACCAACACCCAACACCCAACACCCGAGTACCAAGTACTGACACCCAAGATTCAGTACTCGGTACTCGGTGATTCGTGTGTATCATCGGTACTTGGGTGTCGGGTGTCGGGTGTCAGGTGTCGGTACTCGATTCGAAACTCGAAACTCGAATCTTGAATCTTGAAACTCAAAACTCGTATAAATCTGAGTTTTCACAATATTATGTCCGTACATCGTCAGTAAGTATACAAACAACGACTGACGAAAAACTGCTATATGACATAGAGCTATCTTCCAAAAATATATACGGCTGTGCAGTGAGGATGGAAAGGGAAGAGAAAACACAGGTGATTTGGGGGGATTTGGAAGAGGGGAATGAAATGGCGGTAAGATTTGAGATGGAGAACACAGGGTGAAGAGAGGAATACAAGGGTGAATGAGAGTAGTACAATGGAACAGATTTAGGGGTAAACCCTTAGCTAAGAGTTGCAGATGAGACTCATGTCAGCCAGCAACAAGACTCGCATAGTAGAGTCGATTACAGATGAAGCAGGGGAGTTGAATGGGATGATGTATCAAGACTCTAAGAGTCGAAGCCGTGTGAGTGCCTTAAGCGAGCATGACTCAGTACTCAGGTACTTGGGTGTCGGGTGTCGGTACTCGACTCGAAACTTGAAACTCCTATATGATACGTATCTGGGCCCACCAATCTGTCTAATATTACCCGACGTCGGCCCACCCGTCTAGGTAAAATTCCCCACTTTGGCCCACCCGTCTATCTAATATTTCCCTACATCGGCCCACCTGTCTATGTTATAAATATTTCACCTCACCCTCGGCCCACCCGTCTATCTAATATCAACCCACGTCGGCCCACCCGTCTATATAATAAATATTTCACCTCACCCTCGGCCCACCCGTCTATCTAATATACCCCTGCGTCGGCCCACCCGTCTATGTAATAAATAATTCGCCTCACCCTCGGCCCACCCGTCTACCTAATAATACCCCACGTCGGCCCACCCATCTAAGTAAAATACCCCACATCAGCCCACCCGTCTATCTAATATTTCCCTACATCGGCCCACCTGTCTATATAATAAATATTTCACCTCACCCTCGGCCCACCCGTCTATGTAATAAATAATTCACCTCACCCTCGGCCCACCCATCTACCTAATAATACCCCACATCAGCCCACCCGTCTATCTAATATTTCCCTACGTCGGCCCACCCGTCTATGTAATAAATATTCCACCGCTCCCTTGGCCCATCCGTCTATATAATAATATTTGCTATACATCTCTCCTCAGGTCTATAATATATGTCAATCCTACTCTACATATTACCCATATGGGCCCACCCATCTCCATAATAATATTTCTCCTGGCCCATCCACCATCGTCAATGATATATATAACATCAGCATAGATGGGCCCACCCGTCAACATCGGGAATATACATAACATTGGCCCATAATCTGCTGGCCCGTATTACACGGGATATTATGTAGGTCGGGTGACCCATATAGTACGGGATTTGTCACTGAAGGGGCTCGCATTTTTGTGGATCCTCATCCTACTTGCGGTAGAGTTGATTAGGGTCGTTTAGACAGAGACTAGTACTCCCCAGTAGCAATCCCCTTAAGGATCGAACATGCTTGCTCTCAAGTGAGGCAGTAGGCAGCAAAGACCCAACTTTGTAGTAGATCGATTTCTCGCTGCTGCACTTGTTGTACCCACACCGTGTTGAATCGTGGTCATTGTCTTAATTAACAACTGACCATGTCAGGCCCTACTCGACTCAGGCTCACTGACCGATTTCGTCTCATCTACCGTCATGGATCAGTTGAAACTCGATTATGAGCTACTGGATAAACCAATACCTTTGCAACTCACGGTCTCAGGATCCTGTAGTGTCATTAAAGCTAATACAACTGTTGAATTCGCATATCAAGACTGTGAAGTGCCTTCACACTTTTGATATTGCTAACCTCGAAGCTTATGACAGTCATCCTTGGGATGCCATTCCTCTATCAGCACCAAGTACTAATCAGGTTTCAATCCCTCCAAAATCAAAATATGTAGTCTCGACCCTCTACCCATCCAAGGATCGCAAACACAAGTCTTGGAACTAAAGGGCTTGGGCCCGGGTGTGGATAAGTTCAAATCATACCAACAAGAACTTTGTACTTACCACGTAGGACATTTGCAAAGAAGCGGTCAAGACCCCCTTACCGCCATTGCGTGAGATTAACCACATAATTCCCCTTATCGATGACAGTCAGGTTTACTCCTGGTGTCAGTCTCAATGCCCAGAGGCGCTGCACCCTCTGTGGAGAGCTAAATGAGAAGTGTATACTCAAATGGGTCGGTGGGAGTTCTTTAGTGGAACCAATGTGGTTCCCATGATAATGATGAAGAAAGCCACCAAAGATGGGTCTCTACGACTGCGTACCGTGTTGGATACCCGTCAGCGAAACAAAAACACGCGCAAGCTTGCGTCCCCGTTACCTGATATCAACACCATACTACGGAACGTCTCCTCACATCTGTTCCGATCATTACTCGATGGTAAAGACACTTACGAACAAATCCGCGTGGTACCCTGATGACGTCCCAAAGACATTGTTTGCTACTCCTGATGGCACAATGATCAGTCACGTCATGCAGATCGGTGATTGCAATGCAGGCGCAACCTACCAATCCCTAATGAACCATATATTCGGCCCACACTTGGGCGTATTCATGGATGTTTATCTTGACGACATAGTGATCTACTCTGACTCTATCGAAAACCACGTGAAACATGTTAAAATCATAATAGATACCTTACGTGCTAATCACTTCTACCTCAGCGAGCACAAACTCCAGTTTTTCATGAGTGAATTGTGCATTCTTGGCCACATCATTGACTGACGGTGGAATTCTCCTGGACCCTCATAAGGTTGATAAGATAATTAACTGGAAAACACCCACCTCAAAAGACCTCCTGATGCAATTAATCGGCTCGGTCGGGTACTTGGCTGGTGGATGTGAGGGCGTTTGAGTTCGACATGCAACACCTCTCCAAGGTGGCTGCCCAAACCACAAAATGGACTGTGGAACCCTACTGACCAACGTGTGTTCAACTTGGTCAAAGCCTGTGTTGAAATGCATTGAAGCACACATCGCAGGGTGATAGAGATGGCGACCGCAATTAGCAGCACAAACCCCGTGAACCTGACTGACTGATGCCTCCTTCACAGGGCGCGAGCAGCAGTACTCTCTCAAGGTCCGGACATTCACAAGGCAAGCGTTATTGCCTTCTGGTCAGGTAAATTCAATTCTGCACAGCAGAATTACCCTGTACATGAACAAGAACTATTAGCTATCGTCGAATCCCTGAAACAGGTTCCAGTCACTTACTTATTGGTTACAAGTTCCGCATCTTCACTGACCATAAAGGCCTAGAGTGGCTGAACACTCAATCCAAACTTTCCCCTAGACAGATGCTGCTGGCTAGAGGCCATTGGTGAATTCGACTTCGAGATTGTGTACAGTACCTGGTGAAGAAAACACCCTAGCCAATGTGTTATCGAGGATGTATGGTAACAAGCCTAGAGGTACCGTTTGCGTGGCGAGTGAATATGTAAGTGTAGAAGAGGAGGACAAGGCACATACATTACTTCTCAACTTCATATCAGCCCCAGTCTACACTGGGACTCCACTATTCCTCAGTGCGACTGGAAGCTCGGCGCTCAGCCTGTGTAGTGCTTCAGTGATTGAGCGGCCCTGCAGATGCCCGACTGAGATGGGACTCAGACATGTGTCCCTCTATTCATAGGACTGCCGTCACCAATGCTGCAGGAACAAGCGAATCAGACTCTCATCCCATGCTGCGAGCCATGGTTGGTCCTACTCACCCCACTAGCATGAAGGAAGTGATCCTGAATGGTAAACCCCCAGCACAACCACTTGAGGGCATGATAAGTAGCGTGAGTAACACCACCCACAATAACACTGACGATAGCCCTGGAAACACCATCAGCAAGCCCACCAGCAATAGTGCTAAACAAACCAACAAAGCAAAGAGCCCACCAAAGACACCTACTCCAACTTTGACGGACGAAAGAACTCCAGCTTTGACTGGATGAAAGAGAGCAAACAAATGATGTGATTCATTCAGTACACATGGACCAACAAAGTCATGTGACTAGTGAGACGAACACAACCCTGAGCTATGTTACTGGAAAAGGAACCAGCAGAGAACACAGACAATGACTCACTGACTGACTCTCCCTCTATCCTAACGGAAACTATCACACTTGGCGACCCTACTGTTGATATTCATACGCACTTAGCAAATCGATACTCAGAAGACCAGTTTTTCTCTAAGATCATCAGCAACCCAAGCGCTTTTAAGAACTTTGAAGTGAGCAATGGTAGAATCTACCTTAAATACAAAGGAAAATGTATTCTATGCATCCCAGACATCACCATCGGTGACCGACGGATGAGAGAGATTGTAATATCTCACACACATTCAATTCTAGCCCATCTCAGGCCCTCAGAAGACCTTACTGTACCTTCAAGAAAATGTCTGGTGGAAAAGCATCATGGCTGACTGTTCATTCCTTCTGCGAATCATGCCCCACTTGCCAAGTCTCGAAACCTTTGAATCATCGACCCTATGGGCTCTTAGAAACTCTAGAAGTACCTACTCGCCCATGGGAGACTATTGGGATCAATTTCATTGGTCCCCTGCCCTGAGTCTAAAACACTCAACGGTACATTTGATATGTTACTAGTAGCAATTGATCACCTCACATCAATGGTACACCTCACCCCCACTAAACAAACCTACCGAGCAAAAGATATAGCCGAAGTTATGTTTCACCTCGTGTACAAGCTCCATGGGATGCCATCGAATATCATGAGCGATCGTGACACCCTATTCATGAGCATGTTCTGGCAAAGATTCCATCAGCTAACGGGCATCGAACTTAGGATGTCCACATCATTTCACCCCCAATCCGACGGAGCAATGGAGCAACGGAGCGCGCTAATCGCACAATAACCCAAATGCTTAGACAGATTGTTGCACCGAACCAACGTGACTGGGCCATTAAACTCCCTGCTATCGAATTCGCTATTAACTCAGCCTGCACTGGAGCTACTGGGTATGCACCCTTTGTCTCCAACTATGGATTCCTTTCCCCTCCTCTTATCTGGAATTCCAACTCTGAATACCCTGGAGTTCGGGTCTTTGCACAGTGAATGAAAGACGCCATCATGTTGGCTCACGACTCTGTCATTGCTGCCCGCATCAAAAGTACAGAATCAGCAAACTGTCACCGACAAGAATCACCATTCATTAAAGGGGATCTAGTCTATTTATCTACGGCGAACTTCTCACTCCCCAAGGGACAAGCATGCAAACTCGCTCCAAAGTATGTGGGCCCATTCAGAATTATCAAGGATTATAAAAACAACTCTTTCCTCCTGGATCTTCCCCCTGATCTTAAGAAGCGTGGGATTCACCCGGTCTTCCATGCGAGCCTCCTCCATCTCCATATCCCTAATGACAATCAACGATTCCTGGGATGACAAATTTGCCAGATGAGCAACATTGGCATGCCTGAGGAATGGTCTGTTGCGAGAGTAATAGATCATCATGGACAGGGCTTGAACACCCTGTTTAAAATAGAATACTCAATGAGCGACTACATCTGGCTCCCTTACCAATCCGTTTCGTGACTCGAAGCTGTCGGACAATACCTAGAGGCTCTCAGGGGTAACTGGCATTCAGGACCTACCTAAAAAGTCCTGCACCAGACCCACCTAATATTAGTGTTGCCACCGTGAGCACCCCCTTTGAGGCTAGTAGACTTGTCCTCAATATTGTTGACAGATTACTGGCTGAATTACCCGCTGTCACACCTGTCAGCACCTCCGGGTCCCAGGACTCAAAAGGACTCGATCAACCCTCATCGAAATCCTCCAACCTTTCACTCCATTGCCCTATGTCCTCCTCCCACTCTCCCTTAGGACCGAGCTCCACAGGACTCCCCTGACATGATGAACAGTTGACAGCCCTGGCTACATAACAGAGCCGGGTGAAGTCCCCCCTTTTAACCCCCCTCGCAGTCATGCCTATGCTCCGAGTCGTGGTGGTCGAGGTGTTGTTGTTGTTGAAACCGTGGCAACAACTCTTATCATTCCTCTCATCATGAGTTGAACGACAATGCTATGAACACTTTCTCACGCTTCTTTCACACTGAAGCTCAGGCTAGTAAGTCTTACTCCATACGACTTCCCCTGTCGCGACCTTCTTATTCACCTGCCTATCACCTTGCAGAGGAATTGGCTATTAAGAAAGAGGCATACACTTTCGCAGCCCAGGTCAAAGCAGACCGCTGAAAAGGAGCTCTCCAGCCAGGGCCCAGCACAACCGTCACCTCACATTAGACAATTGAGGCAAACAGCATGTCAGAAACCTTCAACCTCATTCCCCTGTGATCGGGCAGCCTGCTCCTATCCCCAGGACTGCTTCTCAGATCATCAGCAGGACGCCAGCAAAACCCCCATCAACGATCCTACCCCCGTCCCTACTGATTCCACTCCAACCATGGACTCTGGTGCTGATGTCCTCAATATCGTTGCGAGATCTGAAGAGTTTGATAGGAGTAATAGCACCCACCTTCATAGTGTTGCTAATGAAGATTTCTTCAGTAGATCCCTTATTAGCGTCCTCAGTTCTAATGAACCTCCTAACGCTAACTCTCTTGCTAGCCGCCATGAACTCAATGGGCATTCAGACCCTTCAGTCACTTGTACTGCAGAACCCTGTCATAGGACATGTACATTGACCTGCAGAACCTGGTCTACAGGACGTGGGCCAGCCCATGTAGATGCAGGACTGGCCGGTGTCGTAGAACCTGTGTTGGCTGGTGTTAAACCTGTACTATTGTTAGCCAGTATGGTGGACAGCTGTACAAATGGTAAGCTATACTCCCACAGGCCAGCCTACCTCTGCTGTATGTAGAAGGGGGCAGGCCGATCACATGGTGACCTATTCCACTATGGGCCAGCCTGCTATTGCACCTTGTAGAGGTGGGCCGGCTGACCCGGTGGTGAGCTATACTCTCATCGGCCAGTCCACCTCTGCAGTATGTAGGAGAGGGCCGCCCGCCCATATGGTGACCTATTCCACTAGGGGCTGGTCAGCCCAATGGTGACCTATTCCACTATGGGACCAGCCTGCTATTGCACCTTGTAAAGGTGGGCCGGCCGACCGGTGGTGAGCTATACTCTCATCGGCCAGTCCACCTCTGCAGTATGTAGGAGAGGGCCGCCCGCCCATATGGTGACCTTTCCACTATGTTCCAGCAGCTATTGCACCTTGTAAAGGTGGGCCGGCCCACCCAGTGGTGAGCTATAACTCCGATCGGCCAGTCTACCCCTGCAGTATGTAGGAATGGGGACCGGCCGCCCCTATGATGACCTATTCCAACTATGGGCCAGCCTACTATTGCACCCTTGTAAGAGTGGGCCGGCTGAACTGGTGGTGAGCTATACTCCCATCGGCCAGTCCACCTCTGCAGTATGTAGGAGGGACTGGCCGCGCTATGGTGACCTATTCCACCATGGACCAGCCTGCTATGCACCCTGTAAGGGTGGGCCGGCCAACCTGGTGGTCAGTTCTCTGATGTAAAGGCAGGCAGGCCACTCCCTTAGTAATACCATACCACTATAGGCCAGACTGCGGTTACAGCCTGTGGGAGTGGGACGGCCACATGGATTATAACATTTACTGCTGTTGGCCAGCTAATTTCTTGACCTATACCTATGTTATACCTGTACGACTTTGAGCTAGTTACATTACATGGGGGTTGGGTGAGATTAGAAGTAAAGTAAATTACATCAGGACATCTCAAAGATCAACTAGTTTCCAATTAATTTTCCTTGAAAATTCTTCAGGCCCTCGGCTGAAAACTTAGCCCACATTGAAGCCTGCTTCTCAGCATATGCCTTATGCCCATCCTTGATGCTTTTATCTACCCTTGATCTCCATGTGGCCTCTTGTGTCCCAAACCAGGACACTGTCCAAAACATTTCATGCTGTACCAACTTCAATTCTTCACTCCAACAGTCATATCGTGCTTTTGCTTTCAACCAATTCACACGGTAAACTTGAAATGAAGAAAATAAGTTGATTACCTTGAACAAACATCAGATGACATGAAAACTCACATTCATTCATCCACTGGTTTTTTTGACTGTCCTCTGTGTTGTTGATCCTCCAAAACCAAGTCAGTCTAAGTCAGTCTATCAGAACCCTGACCATGCCTGTTTTCCTCTGTGACTTCTTTGCTCACTACAAGGTCCTGAGCCTTTAGGGGTTGATACAATGCCAGTGTATCAGAATCAGCCCCCAAACATTGCATTGCTGCCCTTGACCGACGATATCCTCGGGCCTGTTTGTTGATGGACAGAGTGATTTGTAGAAGTTCCTTTTTTGATCTAGTGCCCTGGTGATGGATGGAGTGTATTTTCTCTCGAAACACCACTGATCTGTCACCCAAGGCTTGACGAAGCTTTTCCAAGCAGTCATTTGCTTGACCCTTTTGAAGCTTGAGTTCTTCTTGACGTAATGCCACAATAATGTCATCCATGATGGTATCAGTTGCTGCCCATGATGGCATCCAAACTTTGGCAACTTCTGCAGGTAAGTCAACCTCACCCTCTGGATCCAAAATACTGTCCTCCTCTGGATCTTCAATGCTTGGAAAATTCGGACCATCAGCCTCCTCCAGGCACAGTTCAGGGTCATCCTGTGGCACTCCTTCCCCCCCCTCTAATTCCATACCATTAGTCATAACCATGGCAGTCCTGTCGAACTTATTAATGCGGGACATGAGCTTCTGTCTTTTTTCTTCTATAACAGTTCTCTGAGAAGCAGTTGGATGCTCAGGTAGTTGTCTTATAGAAGCTCTCACGGCATCTCTAGTAACACAATGTGAGTTAATGAAATCGCAAATTTAGAACATCTTACTGAGCATTTTCTATATTGATACCCTCAATCAACCATGCAACAGACCCACTCCTGCCATTGGTGGACATTTCATTTTCAGTCAATCGTAGCCTTATTTCAGCCATGGTTGGAGCTTTCAATCATTCTCCTGTCAGTGCTAAATTAAAGTTAATGTCACCAGACCTACCTTGATCCATTTTAAGCTGATAGATGTCAAGAAGAGCACTGCGGCCCTGAGCTGCTAGTTCAGCTGCCTTCTTCCATTCCTGGACATTGGCCGAATCAAGTGATTTCGTCAATTCCTCATATGGACCCTGAGTATCACTAATACCCTGTAGGGCTCAGCGATGCTTTTTAAGCAGTAGTTTAACTTTGCAAACATCATGTGAGTTTAAGTTCTTATTTTAGAGGTCAGGAGGACTTGCCAATTCCAACGAGCTTCTTCCAATTGGAATCTCTCATATGGTCATCCAAGACTTCCTTTCTGTGAGCGAGAGTCATGGATCTCGCTGTGGGGGAAATCTTGTTAAAAGGGGCCCAGAGGGTCTCCAAGATTTCTCCTGTCAATATGACCAGCTCCTGTAATAAAATTGAGGCTGAACCTAGGAAAGCATAGTAGCTTATGGGCGCTTAAATGAAACTTGCCAATTGCAGGCAATATTTCAATCGATTGGGGAAGAGACAGGTGATAGCTCCGGTCCACCCTTTCATGGAAGTGGATACTCCACTGGCATGCAACATCATAGATTATTAGCGCACTGCCAATACCTCCAGATGGATATTTCACTAGCATTGCAAATGGAATAGTCCATGTTCATTTGCCTGGCTACATAGTCAGTCCATGATCAGAAAATCATGATACAACCACAGACCGTTCCCCCTTTTGAAAGTCGACCACTGCATGAGGAACAAAACATCCATGCCTAGCACATGCTGTTGCCCCAACTCCTGTAGCCCTTAGATTGCTTCTCTGAACATTGGCTGCATTCACAGCTCGGTGATTACTACAAGATGATTCCTGAAATTATATTAGACAGTCATTGGCAAGGAAACACGTCGATAAAAATCACAACTCACCTCTCTCTCTTCAACAGATTCTGTTATGTGAGTTTGATAAGGTTCCTCGGTTACCATGTATCCCTTTCCATCTGCCAGTGAGACATCGTCTTCTGGAGTCTTCATCTTCATATGTGGGGCTGTAAAATTTCCATCCACAATGTATCTTTGCATAACCAACCAACTAGCCACCACAAAAAAATGAGCTAAGTTGGCAATTGTCAATCTTTCAACTTACGCGTCATAGGAATCCTTCCAAGAAGGAGGCAAGTTGATGCCAGGTTGGGGGCATGCTGGACAATACAGAGCCAAATCACCTGGACCAGGGGATCTGTCGGTCTCAGTGTCCAAAGCCAAATCTTATTCTATTAACCAAATCCCTCCATATACTGTGACACCCTCATAAGTTCACGATAGCTGGTCCTTTTTATCATATAAGCTCAGGGTACAATAATAATAAAATTGCTCACTGGAATTTTATCAGGGAAAGCATTGTTGGTAAAACATCATAGCTTTTGATAGAAACTCATAGCCGAAGTTTTGCACTCCAAAGCATCTATGAGGAAGTTATCCAGGACGTCGAAGGTAAAAGCAGAGTGAGGGCGAGTGATACTGGCAGGAAATAATTTTGCTTTTAGAAGATGTAGATGTCTATCCTTCTCAGCTCCAGGACACTGACACCAGGATATGTGATGTGAGTAAATTCCAGTGGAGTGCACGACGACCAGGTTAGATACTCCTGACTGTGTCTCATAGATCTTTTCCCCCTCCCCATCTGCAAACACATCTTCCATGGCTCCAAGATCTGACCAGGGTGATGGGGTCAACTGCTGGGATAAACAGGGACACCGATGGCCTCCATGGCCAAGATACATTACATACCCTTGGTCCTGTAGGGTAGTAGACTCGTAGAATTTGCCATTCCAAAGTTGAAGGTTGTGGAAGGGGTTCCACTGGTGGGCTTTAACAGCACATGAAGGACACCATGCATGCTCTCCTGAGCAGGACAGACACTGAATAAACCCCCCCTCTCCTCCACAATCCTCACATTGTCTGTTGTTGATCAGTTGTTCCAACTCCAACAACACCGAAAGATATTCTTGATGCCAAGGCAAGTATTCCCAGAGGAAATCATTTTGGGACTATATCTCGGCTATTTTTAATAACATGTCAAGAAACATAATCCCAACAGAACTCACTTTTGTCTTTTGTTGAATACCTTTCAAGCCTCCGGTCCAAAACCCATCATGCACCTCCCCATCATATTCCACCAGTAAATTATCTTCAATATTTTGGTGATGTTTTTGTTTTGATGGTGAGGCTGGCTCTGCCTCACTGTCAGAGTCTTCATACACAAATGAAGTGTTGACTTCTTTCCATGAATCCTTCCCCCTCTGAGATTTCGTTGACGTGTATGTATATTTATAAGCACCTTTTTGTCTCTTTCTTGGCCGAGCCTCAGATGAAGATGGCCCAACTCTGGCTCTATTTCGCCGCCTTGGTGTGATTTTTGAACTCATGGAATTATGGGTTTGACAACAGCCACATAGGCTCAAAACATGAATTTTTGCATAGCTACACAGAACCCCCCAAAAAAAAAATTTGAATAAATAAATAAATAATATTGTGGGATTTCCCTACTATCTTCTACTCTTTTTCTGCCTCCGCCCCTTCGGTTTCCTCCCCACTAACTCTAAAAAGAAACTCTGCATGGGGAATCCTGGCCTTGGCACCCCTACTCGATCATGCACAGCATCCTTCATGAAATGGGCAATTACCAATCTTTCTCCATTGAGCCAAGGACAAACAGAATGTTCCAGCACCCTCCCTGAGATATAGACCATTGCTCCAGGGGAATAATCCAGCTCTGCTTGGACATCTGGCAAGGCAAATGTTGCATGATGGTTTCTACCTAGACTGACCAAAAGATCAAAAAGGGAAGGAGATCCACCACCATCTCTGTGGCTAAAGGTAACTCGATTAGCAATGATTTCAAGCCCTGAAAACATTGAGGGCCAAGAGTTCACAGGAGCAGGGTTTTTTTTTGGTTGACAAACTTCCTTGATGACCTCAGAAAATGCGGAGACACCAGCCTGAAACAGATCCGGAGCCACAGTAGCCGTGATAGCATTCCATAGAACTTCTGATGTTCTCAAGGCTGCTAGCCAATCTTGGACTTTCCCTGATGTGTAAGACTCCAATGTCACTAAAGGATCCACTAGTCGCTAAGAATATAGTTAGGACAGGGGAAAACATAATAAGTAAAAATGCAATACCTCTTGTCTTTGCATGAAATATGCAGGTGCTATTGTAATTCTACCAGCCCCAAATTCCCCCCCCTCCCTCTGGGACAAGATAGCCATCATCTCGCCAACTTTTCTTTTTCTGTGAAATGGGTGGAAGGGTTTTAAGAAGAAAATCCCGTAAGCCAGCAGTAATGTGGTTGACATGCTCCTAATTAATCAGCCCTGAGAGGGAATCCCCAACCAGAAAAGAAACATACTAGGCGAGAAGGTGACAAAATATTAGGGAGGTAAATCACTATAATTTTGCCATTCCTATCCACAATGGTTGTTGGAACTGAAATTTTGCCGAGCACTGCCTCAGGGAAGTACTTCTTCAGTCTCTCTGGTTCAGCAGTTGCAGAACTGTCCCAATTAGGGTGTGACAACTTGACCTTGTCACCATACCGGTCCACATCCCAATCAACATTCACTATATTTAAGCATTAAAATTCATGCATGGCCAGACATATCTCCTTACTCACTGGGATTAACCATAGCATGTGCAATAGTCAGGGCAGCCCGGTCAATTTCATATTCGGAAATTGATGTATCCTTAAAAGTCAAATTATCGCTCGGTGATTCCAAGCACCGGCTGAGCTGTGCTGCTATTCTCATCCTTGATTCCCTCAGTAATTAGTGGTTGTACAATTAATACTGAACCATGGTTACCTAGCTTTATGCAGCAATTCAGTTTCAACTTGGCCATCTTTAAGGACCCCTAGTTCAGATGAATTGCCCATTATCTCCCCAATCCTCCTGCCCAGAGTTGCCAATAGCTCAGTTGTCCTGTTTTTGAGGTTGTCCATTGGAGAAAAAAATGAACCAAAGTTCTCAAAATTCTCACGATCCAATGATCCACACTAATATAGTTGTTTGGTCCAAATAATCATCATGTAATTGGACAATCAGACCATATGAAGTTTGTTATGATGTAATAGCCTTATATGGTCTACTTACATTGGATCCTACCACCACTTGAGCTCGTCTTTGGTCTTGAATGTGATGGGGGAGATGTGGCGGAGGTTGGATTCGGTTAGAAGACAATCAGAGTAAGGAAGAGATATGAGGTTTTTGGTAAGACCCATGGCATGCAGCCAGTATCTCAAGTATTCCACCTGGGCTGAGGAAAAGAGTAATTGGGTCTGAGAGACCTGGAGTGTTCCTAGATTTAGTTGGTGTTAGCTTTCGTCAGGCCGGTTTCGCGTCATATACCAGGGCGACAGATGCACGTCAGAGGTTATGGGGATCTTGCATTTGGTGCATGCCTCATGGTAAGGCCTTTATGATTGAACTGCACCCAGAAGACAAGTTCGCACAATGGCTCTAGGACATGTGATTCTGCCCGGAATACTTATGACATATGACTATGAATTTTGTTTGAAAAAAAAAGAAGTGGTTGTATGATAGCTATGATAGTAGTACATTGTTTACATTCAGGGGTATCTCCAGATTCCCTGGTAAATGATAAAGCCGCAAATCACATACTCTTTACATCCAAATGCCTTCCTATGCCATAATCTCATCATCTTCATCAACGCTGAAGATGTCCATTCCATATCCTATGATAGTGTAGAAGGAGAAGTCCAGTATCAATATATAGCAGCAAAATATAATATAATAAACTCACATTGTTTGAGCCATCTTGGTCAATATTCATGATATCCTCCTCATCATGGCTGAAGACGTCCATGTCCTATGATAGTGTAGAAGGACGAGTGTAGTGTCAATATAAATAATGTACTCACAGTTTTTGTGACCTCTTGATAAATGAGCATATTGTCTTGGTCATTGAGGCCGATGCTGTCCATCTCTCCCTATGTAGTGTGAAAGGAGGAACAAAGTGTAAATATAAATGACCGCAAGATATCTGATACTCACCGTTTTAGTGATTCGGGTTGACAAAGTTCATGTCCTCCTATGGTAGTGTAGGTTGAGTGAATGAAGGTCAAATGCAAGATTTAAGCTAATTAAAAGACTTAATCTTTGACTGTTAAAAGACTTGATCTTTGACCATAAAATGTTACTGGGTCCGACATCTTGGGCTAGGCATGCTGCCAGAGTTTCCTCGAGAAAGACTCAATATATGGCATGCATGTAGATGTAGCAGAGTGGGATGACAAAAACATGGTCATGTGACACCAGAATGACATTGGGCCAAGTAATGATGCTGCAGGGTATAGATAGTCCTGGTAAATAAACCCACCATTACTGACAGCGCTGAGATATGGAGAAGGGCGAAAATGGGTGTATAAGTGGCAATAGGAAAAATGCAACAATGACCATGATGCACCCTATCAGTCGCCATCACTAAACAGCTGGCAATGTGAAAGCAAACATCTTGTGTTTCGATGGTGGTGGTACTGGCATGGGCTCGTGTTTTGGGATACTGGGCAATGATGACACCCCTAGAATTTGTCAAGCACAGGGACTATCTAGTATACTGTTCAATGATCTATTTGCCTTTGTCATTATTCTCACGATCACGTGACCCATAAGTTGGGTAAAGATTTACACATCACATGACTAGAAAATGCCCATAAAGGGTAATACATTTGCGCTGAGCACTATATTAACTTATTAAGTCGTCCAAACTAAAAAGCTAAGGTAAAAAAACTAAAGCAAATATGATGCAAGACAGGGATGGAGGAGCCCTCTCCATCCTAGCCTTGCACCCTACAGTACATAAAGAAAGATAAAATATAGATTAATGATCAATGAACTATAGCATTAGTTAGTATGATATTGACTATTAAAATGACGCTTACCAGATTAAACAAAAGGGAGAGACAGTGCGACAGAAAATTTGTTATAGAACACTAGAAAAATAAACACGGTTAGTAGAGAACACACTTGAAAACTGCGTTTACCAGATTAAACAAAACTGAGACACAGTGGGAGAAAAAATGTGTTATAGAACACTAGAAAATTAAACATAGTTAGTGCAAGAACACACTTGAAAACCGGTAAAAACATGTGGAAAAAACCTTGAAAACAGAACAAAAACAAGGCGCACCAAAAGAAATGACATTGAACTAAAAAAATAAGTCAGTACAAAGAAAAACTCCCCTAGAACCCACAACTCAAGGTGTCCAGTCCCTGAGGACATGGATGGCCAAGAAACACTCCCCCAGATCCCACAAAGAAGGTGTCCAGTCCCTGGGGACATGGATGGCCAAGTTAAATACCCCCAGATCCCACAAAGAAGGTGTCCAGTCCCTGGGGACATGGATGGCCAGAAAAGTCTGAAGAAGGAAGAGACAGTTAGTATACAAAGAGTGAAAAAGACTAACCTGAAGGTGTCCAGACCCTAGGGACATGGATTGCCAAGTGAAACACCCCCAGAACCCAAGTAAAAAAAACCTGAAGAAGGAAGAGATGGTCAGTATATACAAAGAGTGAAAGGACTAACCTGAAGGCACGCTATCAAAGAGGATTGATAGCACGCCTACTGTGAAGAACCACTGTGAAAAAATGAACCAGAAGTTAGTGAGGTTAGATGGATAAAGGAATACTCACCTGTGAACACTTGAAATATAGCTGTAGCGCTGCCTTTGACCATTTGCAGCTGCAGTCTGCAAGTGGCCAAAGGACAGAAGCACAGAACATCTTGAGGTTAGTAGTGTGAGCAAAGGGAGGATAATATAGGACAATACACATGGTTGAAGTTGAGGAAAATGAACCGTGGGAGAAATATTAACGGTTGAAGTATGTTTGTTGATTTGTTCTTGTTTGCAAAAAGGTCATGTGACATTTGGTTGGTGTTTTTTTCACTAAGTCCAAATTTCTGTGTGCACTGTGCAGTACATTGGACTTTGCCGGCTGACATAAATTGTCCTTATTTGGAATACATGCAAAAACTATGCAGCTGTGCAGTACACCGGACTTTGCCAGTTGACATCACGTGACCTTTTGGTTGGTTTTTGGTTCACATACGCGTGTCTTTTGTCTTGCTCACTATACCAGTTCAGACGCATTTCTGGAGTCAAGTGTAAGTTTCTTTTGGTAAATCTTCAGTATACTGACTATATACTGACTATGTTTCCAGCTTTTCAGCCAGCCTTTCCTCCCATCACCCTCAGCAATCACGACGCGCACTAAGATGACTGCCAGGAAGTCCAATGGTGGCTCAGCACCATGCGTCCACCTCAAGACCCTCAAGACCCTCAAGACCACCAAGACTCGCCCTAGCCGCATTTCTGGAGGGGAATTAGAGGGAGGAGAGCCCATGGAGGTATCTGAGACAGTTCACCACAATGGGGTGAGTTTTTTTCTCTTTCTATGTCTGTGCTAATATTCTTCCTTCCCTCCAACAGTTCTGTATTCTCTGCAGGGATGGCTCTGCGTCATTCCAAGAGAATCCTCTCTTCATGTGCAACCATTGCCCCAGAGTAATGTGCCGGCTGTGCATGGAGCTCCCACTGGACACTGAAGACGCGATCCTTGGTGAGGACGTCTCTTTCATGTGCATATGTTGCCACATGAGAGTGGCAGAGGAGGGCGCACCATACTTTGTGAGTTTTTTTTTTTTTTTCATTCTCTGTTCATTAGCAACTAATTGTACATCAGGGCTTCTACTATCCTGATGGTACCACAGTCCTCAAGTCTTTTCTACACGTCCAGGCCTCCCTTGAAGTCTCAGCGCTTGCCGAAATCTCCACTGCCCCCATCCTCTTCATCCACCTCGTCCTCATTGACTTTGAAACTACCGGGAGCCCCTTTCCTTTTACCCATTCTTTCCTCCAGCCCTACTTCACAAGTGGGGGCATTGAATATTGTGAGATCGCGTACAACATCATCTCTGCCCCAGACGCTTACCTCAAAACCGTCGCTCAAATCATCAAGACCCTCAACAAGGCATTTGTTTGGGAATGCGTTGTCATTGGGATATCCACCCACACTGACAATGATCAAGGTGACATTTTCGCTGGCTACTCTGATGATGGTGGCAACAAGCACTATGTCAGTGCTGGATCTGACCAGGTGAGTTTTTTTTTTTTTTTGGCCACACTTTTCATTACTAACTACCTTTACCTTTACTTGATAGTTCTTGGAGTTTGTTCTCCATCCATGGCAGTCTGTCCTAGACTGTGCTAAGGAAACCTACCTCTGGCTTTTGTGTTGTGGCTCCCTTGTCAACAACACTGATGCGTTTGTAGGCTTGCAACATGCAGTAGTCCAGTAAGTTTATTTAAATTAATTTTTTGTCTCATCTTACCTGGCAATAGCCACAAGCTCTCTGCCACCATAGCTTTCAATGCTAGGCATTTCCAGCCTTCCTTCGCATCCCATTTGCTCCTGGCATTCACTGAGCAAGTCCTCATCGAACATTGCCCCATCCACCTTGCCTTTGGCGAAATGCTGGGTCAATCATCCAAGCTTGGTCACCACACTGATGTTCTCTTACTCACCCCACTTGAGGCTAGCCTCCAGATCTCCAAGTTCACATGGGGTGATACCAAGTTCAGGCCTTGGGGCTGCTTCCTCCCCATCCAATGCCCAACCTGTGGGCGGACTAATTCTTGGCGCTCAGCCTATGCCAGGGACAGTGGGAACAAGACCTACCTCTTTGAGTGCAAGAATACCTCCTGTGACCAGAATTTCACCTTCAGTCAGCCTAAAGGCACCACCATGCTGTCATCAGGTAGGAAGCAGGGGTGTTCATGGATGGAGGTACCTGTGGAACCATTGTTGACTTGATCATGTGCATTTCTAACTTTTGCTACTCAAATTTGTCACTTCTAACATGTTTTCACTCCATAGCTAATGTTTGGTTGTCTGTCAATGAAACTTTGTTAGATGAACTGTGAATGTTGGTGAATTTCAGTAAATATAGTGTAACTTGTAAACGAACATGTCACATGACCGTGTTTGTTGACAACACGGTCATGTGACATAATGGTTGAGTTTCCAAGCACAACCAAGTCTCGGCTGATCCTGCATTCTGCAAACTTGTATCAGCCTGCATCTGTGTCATTTTGTGATATAATGGCCAGCTGGACTCTCGTTTTTAGTGATGTGTTGAATCAACACAAGGATTCCTTTGTTGCTGCTAAAGGAAATTCTGTTATCAGGGCTCGCATCCTCAAAACAATCAAAGATGCTATAGGCAGCAGTGATGCAGCCAAAGACCCTTGTGTCATGCTTCCAGAGAAAAATCTTCGGAAGGTGAGCCTTCGAAATTCTATTCTATACTAATCTAATTAATACAGGCTGTTCGTACATATTATTTGGACTTCCTGGAGGATGACGAGGATCGCAAGGCAGAGGAAGAAATTATTGAGGGAGGGCATAAAGACAGATCTGCTGCAGATGCTGTGACTGTAGAGATGGTGAGAGAAAGGGAAAATGAGAAGCCTGAGGAAGCTGGGAAGTACAAGACAGAATTCTCCGGTTTTGATGTCGCCCAAAAATTATTCAAGGATGAATTTGGAGAATATGACAAGATGCACCGCGATACCTTTGACCAAAAGTCTATGGGCCAGAGGACAAAATTGGCCCGGGCATGGCACCAGGCTATGTCCTCTGAGGTGAAACAGGAGCTTGTCCGGGTTGCTGGAAAATGGAATCGAGAAGGACCTCCTGCAGATACCAAGGATAGGTATTTTTTTCTAACTTTCTATCAGCACACATGTTACATGACTTAATCATATGTCAACAGATACCGTACTTGTAACCAGAAAAAAGTCATGGAGGACTTTATGGGCATGGTTCGCAGAACTATGGGGTTGCATCTCGTCATCCTTACAGCCCATGATCGAGGTGAGGGAAAGGCTCCTGGAACTACTCTGTGAGTGTTTTTTATGCTTTATGTTGTCAATGATGATAAACTTGTTCATAAAGCTGGGAGACCTCGCCTCTAAAGGCGAAAAAACCTTTTACTCAGACATCGAAAGACAATAAGAAATGGGCTGGAGATGCTCAAGATCGTCTTGCAGACTGGCTCCTTGAAGCAGAATATGGTGATGTTCATTTTAATTTTAAATCTAATGTCATAGCTAAAATTATAACAGCTGATGAAGAGGATAGTGATGGAGAGGACAGTGAGGATGATGATCTTCCAGATTTGACCGTTGAGGTCGATGATGATGGTCACCCTTGCCTACCAAAAGGGTTTGGATCTCTCAAGCTGAAGCACAGGCAAAAGGTTGTTCGCACTGTCTTTCAAAAGGCCTACTGTGAGTTGATTGCCTCATATAATGTTATCATTTACTCACTTTCCCCAGCTCTTATTACCAACAATCCCCGGGCTCCAGTGCCCTGGGGTGAAGTGTCTGAAAATCCCGATCACTATCTTGATTCGGAATGTATCCCTAAGAATGTCGTCATCAAGGACCCTTCCCACCTGCAAAAGGACACAATTGCTGCAATTTATTCCCACTGGATAGATTGTGCTAGTCATGGCGCACCAATTGTACGTTTTGTTGGGTATAGGCAAGCTGATTTCTATGATCAGCCCTCCAAGAAGGGAGGTGCAAGGCAAAAATCAAGGAAGAAGCCTGACTACGTCCATGTCACTTCAGATGAGGAAGATTGCTTGAAGAAGATTGATGATGGTAAAAGCTCTTCGGATGAAGATGAAGACAACTTGGACATTCGCTCCCATTGCTGATTCCAGCCCCAAATACCATGTCACTAGGGACATGGTATCTTATCTCAAGTCTCTCTCTATCATCCCTTCATATCACCGCCTTCTTGCTGCAGTTCAAAAGCTTCTGGTATGTCGTATCTAATAACCTTATGATCTCACATTTATTTTGTCCATTTTAAAGACAAGAACAGATTCCAAGGCTGCGGAAACAGCAACTCCCTATCTGGGTGTCCTGGACATGGTCTCAGGCTTATCTGCCTAAAGACATCCATGAGAATATGGAAACTGCCTCCGCTGCACTGGAGAATTTGCTTAACTACAAGTTCAATTCTCGTGGATGGGGCATGATTGTGGTCCTGGGACTTGGACTTCTACTTCGTGAGTGTAGACATGCTCAGGAGTATGAAGAGGATGAAGCCACAGATGATGTACCTGACTACTTGGGTAACTCTATCTTGGGCTTCCAGTTGGGTGACCAGATTAGTGGACAAGATTGCAGGGATAGAGGCTGAAGTCGAAGCCATATGGAAAGATGAGAATTTGGGGTTGTCCGTTGTGAGGCAAGATATTGAGAAGAGGCGTGGGGAGGAAAGAAAGAAGTTGGAGGAGAACCAGAAGGCAGAAGAGGCTAGGGTTATTGAGGAGAAGAGGGTGGAAGATGAGAAGAGGGCAATGGAGGAGAAGAGGGTCGAGGATGAAAAGAGGGCAATGGAGAAGAAGAGGGTCGAAGAAGAGGCAAGATTGGCTGAGGAAGCAAGCAAGGCAGAGAAGAGGGTGAGGAAATCTAATGCCAAAGGGAAGGGTAAGAGGCCTGCTGCAGATGTGGAAGAGCCATCCAAGAAAAAAGTGAAGTCTTCCCCTCCTGATCCCCCTCGTCGTTCTGGGAGAGACAAAGTCGCATCAAAGAAATACAATGCCTGAGAAATTAGGTACATTGTTCCATACATCTTTTATCATAAAGGCTTAGAGTTGATTACATGCTTTGTACATCCATACTTGAGACTTGAACATATTCAAGATGAGACGGACCATACATGTCTGAATATAGGTCACAACCAATGTGGCCGGCCCACTCCTACAGGTTGCAACAGCAGGCTGGCCTATAGTGGTATGGGTCACTGTGGAAGCGGCCAGGCCCCCATTACACAATGCAGAATGAGGCCGGCCGACAGCAGTACATGTCATGACCCATGTGGCCGGCCCACTCCTACAGGCCGGAATAGCAGGCTGGCCCACAGTAGTATATGTCATCATAGGTACAGCCATGCTAGACCATGAATATTGGTCTATTGAAAATTCACTATACACCTGTTATAACTAAGTATAGAATATGAATTTTCTGTGACCTAAACCTATGTGTGAGCCTTCAATGATTATCTGATTCCTAGTTGGACAATCTTTGGTCACAAGAAAATAGACCCTTACATGTACCACTCTGATCTGGGAATGACCTACTCCTATGTGTGAGCCATGAGTTTTGATTTATGTGATTTGTATAACTAACACCTCTACAAGCTTGTGTTACAGTTTTGTGGATTACAACTGTACTACTAGTGTACCACATTGATTTCAAGGTTTTCTATTATTTTTATTGACCTTGACTTCAGCTTGTCCTATGATCTCATATCACTGTGGTGTCAGCTATAGACAGGCCTGTATTGATATTATAGCACTGGCCTTTATAAGTTTTTCTGGTATGACTACAAATAAGCTTATATACATATAATCGTATAATCAGCCACACCTACCCCTACATACCAGCTCATCCCAGTATTGCAGATACATTATGTATACAAGAGTCACCGGCCTGTATGTGGTTGCATACTGGCCTATCCAGGTACTGCAGACATGTCATTTATTAAAGAGTCACCGGCCTGCACATGCTTCACACAGCCGGCCAGTCCTGGATATACATAGGCCGGCCGTTGTCCTGTAGACCTGGTTTTGCAGGCCAATGTACACGTCCTATGACAGGGTTATACAGTATCATAAGACTGAAAGGTGTGGGGCATTACCTCAACTAGCTAGAGTCACTCGCTTACAAAAGAGAAAGCAGGTCTCCGTCATGAGACCTGGAGGGCGTATGTAACGCTAGTCAAAAGCCAAGCGCACGGAATTAGTACCTAACTACCAATATCCGTACGCATCATCAGCATAATTCACTCATTCTTAGTTATTCCTTGTGTTTCTTTTATTCCTACTTTACCCGAGTCTCTCCTTACCTATATAAGCTAGTTTACATAGTATTGGAGGGACAGTTGATCCTTTCCCTCTCCGAGTAACAACAGTTTAGTTCTGACAGTTCTTTCTGTGCTACGCCTAAGTTCACTCTACAAAGTCAACTACTCGAGTGTGAACATTTATCTAAACACCACAAGAAGCGACCTACTGTGATGTGGCGTTCTAAGAACGTACACACGAGAATTGAGTTGACTTGAGAGAGGACTTAGGGTTCAAACAGTAGTAAACTGGCCGAACTAAGCTTTATTTTGGGGGGTAAAGGATCAACTCCCGATCCTACACTAAGTATGCTAGTTTATATAGGTTAGAGAGGATCGGGGAAAGTAGGAATAAAAGGAATAACAAAGAATAAATAAGGGGGAGAATATATCAGAGTTGATCTATCTATTAATCGGTAACCATTTAGGCGTTGGGAGCCTAAGCCTTTTAACGAACGTCACATACGCCCTCCAGCTCATCCAGTAGGAGGGGCTGCAATGTTGTGCGGGAGTTTAGGAGTTCCTATTGAGTTAAGGAGACATCTGTGATGGCAGAGCCAAACACAGCTATTAGGACGAGGAGAATGAGTATATTGGACAAGGTGAGGCTGAGGACGGCAACTCTACCCAAGAATTGAGCGTTAGATAGGCTCTTGATCCGGGTGTTGCACTCTAGGTCCAATAACTTGACAGCTGTGACGATGTCATCAACATCAGCGCCAGGATCCACTTCATGAGGGGTAGAGGAGGTGGAAGTAGGTGTGCTTTTCAGGCTCTCGGCTTGGGTGGTCGCGGCAGAGATGACTTGAGCAGCCGTTAAGGGAGCTGGTGAGTTTGCGTGGAGTGCAAAGCTCGAGGAGGAAGGACGGGACCGTTTGTATTGAAGGTCGCGGTTCTGGCAACAATTGTCGATGGAGAGGTTACTACTAGGCATTACCTGGGGTCGGGAAGCATAGGAGCATTCACGCTCAGCTCGAAGTTGTTGCTCAAATGCATGAGTCTCCTTTTTGATCACTAGTTCCTCTAAGAGAGCACTAGTCTTTAGACCGTGGACTTGGAGAGGGCTTGTAAATTGTCTACGTGAGTGGGTGTCTCCCTTATATGTGTAGTCTCAGGGTATTTGGGGGACATCTTAACCGGCAAATCAGAGAGCATTTGGGCGGTAATTTGCTCGAGGCAACATCTAGCGTCGTCGGCTGTATCGACGGTAGTGATGGAGGCGACACTAGTGTCTGGGGTTGCCTTAGAGGTCGTTCGAGGTAAGTGCGTTAAATTGGGTACACCTAATGCTTCAAGATATTGCCCAACAGCTTCCAGTCGCGACACTTCATAGTACGGGAGCCAGACTTTATCCCCGGTCGTATATTCAACTTCAAACAGCGAGTTGGTTCCTTGACCATTGTGATCGGTAACTTGGGTGACAGACCATTCCTCGAGGTTTCCCAAGTCAGTGATTTGGTCGAGTTGTCTCCCGGGGAACCGTCGGTCATCGTTAGGTATATGGATCCTCAGTAGATGAGCGTGGAACGCAGGGTGAAGCCCTTGTTGCTTGAGGTTCGCAGGGAGGTCTAGCAGGTAAGAATTGTTGCAGTAGTCCTCAAGGATTTTGAACGGGCTGATAAACTTTGGTGCGAGTTTTTGGGCTCTTCCTTTTGGTAATGACAGGTTTTCAGTGGACAGGTAGACGAGATCGCCCTTTACGAAGGGTGACTCTTTGCATTTGCAATTAGCAACTGTAGTGTTCTTGACACAGGCTGCGATGAGGGCGTCATGGGCACTCATCAACGCATCCTTCATTTGTTGAGCAAATATACGGACGCCAGGGTACTCAGATTGAGCGTTCCAGATCATTGACGGGGGCTGTCACCCATATATTAGTACGAAAGGAGAGTACTTTCGTGAGACTGAACTAGCCGAGTTTATTGCGAACTCGATGGCTGGGAGCTTGATCGCCCAGTCGCACTGATCAACAGAGACCACTTGTCACAGCATCTGGGTCATGGTCCGGTTTGCTCATTCGGTCGCGCCGTCTGACTGTGGGTGAAATGAGGTTGACATCCTTAGTTCAACACCCGTTAATTGATATAGTCGTTTCCAAAATGTACTCATAAAGAGGGTATCGCAGTCGCTAACAAGGTTAGAGGGCATCCCATGTAACTTGTATACTAAGTTAAACATAACTTCAGCAATGTCTTTGGCACGGTAAGTCTGCTTGGTGGGGGCTAGATGGACCATTGAGGTCAAGTGATCTATTGCAACCAAGATCATATCAAATGAACTGTTTAGGGTGCGCGATTCGGGCAGTGGTCCCACAAAGTCGATTCCTACCGTCTCCCAGGGGCATGAGGGTACTTCAAGGGTCTCTAGTAATCCATAGGGTTGATGGTTAGAGGGTTTGGAGACTTGGCAAGTGCCGCACGAGTCACAGAAAGCCTGTACGTCTGCCGTCATTTCTTTCCACCAGACGTTATCTCTAAGGTAGATCAGCGTCTTAGATGGGCCTAGGTGAGTGAGTAGGGAATGAGCGTGCGAGATGATAATTTCTCGAACGCATCATTTACCAACTAAGATGTTGGGGACGCAAATTACTCTGCTTCCTTTGTCCTTCAGGATTATTCTACCATTGCTGACCTTGAAGTTCTTATAGGAGTTTGGGCTGGCAATGATTTTGGTGAAGAACTTGTCCTCGTCATATCAGTTGACAAGGCTTTCATGGATGTCAACCGTTGGGTCGCCAAGGGAGATCAATTCAGTGAGTGAGGGAGGATGTTCTGACAGCAGGTCTTCTGCTATTCATGTTGATGTGACATGACCCAATTGTGGGTCCATGTTTGTACTTGCTCTGTCAGCGCTGATTATTCTTGCTTCCTCCCTTCCTGGGTTGTCTGAGTGTGTTCCAATCGTCACTGATGGTATTGGTGAGTTTGTCTCAGTAGCTGCACTCTCGCCCTCCAGGGATTTAGCTGAGTTTTCACTCGATTGCAGAATCACTCTACACTGAGATGGCATCTGTGGCACAGCGGCTTGTGGCGAGTCTGAGGTTCTTGGAGCTGGTGTGGATGCTTCCATTTTGGGTGGTGCACTTATGAGTTCATTCTTAGGGACTATGTGGGTGTCAGGTTCATGGTTGGACACTTCATCTTCGCTGGTTGAGTCGATGGTCTCATCAGGGGCTCAGGGAGGTCTGCAGTAGACGGGGCTAACATTTTCAGTGAGGATTCGTGGGTACTTGCGGTCACTTGGTTTGTCGGTTCACGCGCGTTTCACGTCCGATTGCTATGCGGGTGGATCGATGCGCTTCAGTTGCCCCTAGGAACAGTGGGGTGCCTGTATAAATTGGCAGCTGTCACTGAAGTTCAGTAGTAATGAATGCAGTACGTCTTCCTTGTTGATGCTGACATATTCGCTGGCGGCTCTGACCGTTCCAGCAGGCTCATCATGTAGATACGAGACAGTGCGTCTGCTAAGGTATTGTCAACTCCTGGTACGTGGATTATCTTAAAGTCGAATTCGCTAATGAGTTCCAGCCACCGTGCTTGGCGGGGCGATAGTTTCTTTTGAGACCCAAGCCACTCGAGGCCCTTGTGGTCTGTAAATATGCGGAATCTGAACCTGATCAGTAAGTGTCTGAAGTATTTCAGAGACTTGACAATTGCTAACAGTTCCTGCTCATGAACAGGGTAGTTTTGTTGGGCAGTGTCA